TTCCAATACATGATATGCTAACTCAGTGCACAAACACAAGACATAGTATCATCAAATCAAAAGCCAGTCTCAAACATGAATCAGCCATCTAAATTGTCTCAAGTTTTTTGAAGGGCTATCGGTAAAAGTGCGGTATACAACACATCCTTTTCGCCCTATTTTAGAACTGCTTGAAATAGTTCGCAGCGTCCAGGGGCCACCTATAGATGCACAAATGGGGACAGAAGACAGCGGGCTGTGAATTTTCTTATGCGCTAAGACATGATAGCGGTAGGGTGGGGATGGGGTGGGAGGGGCTGGGGGGCTATACTTTACTTTTACCGAACTACACGAACCTCATAATATCTGTATGTCCCCTCCACAGCGGTGTGCTCACCCGGATGTGGCTCCAAGGGTCAGTGCATCCGGCCCAACAAGTGTCGCTGTAGTGCCGGCTACACCGGCCGCACGTGCAGGCGCAAGACCAAGCCCTGCAAGAGCACCTGTCTCAACGGGGGGCGCTGCCGCAGGGGCAAGTGTAAATGTCCAGGGAGCTTCTGGGGGAAGGCTTGCCAGTACCGTAAGTCTGTTTGTTGATGCTTTTGTGACAACGATGCTTTGTTTCTTGACAGATTTGCGTTTAAATGTTGTTGCGTCTGTCTTTGTGTTTTTAATGGGTCATTCTAATGAATGTGGCCTGCGGTGAGTTGGTATCAATAAAAATCCAAAACTGGGTAGGTTTTTGTCAAGCGGATTGGGTTTCCTTTTGTTTTTCTTTGCTTGTTTTTTCTCACGTTGTGTTTCTTTTTAATTGGGGGTCAAGGGTTGCTTTTGGCTGTTGCTTTTGGCTGTTGCTTTTGGCTGTTGCTTTTGGCTGTTGCTTTTGGCTGTTGCTTTTGGCTGTTGCTTTTGGCTGTTTCTTTGGTTTTCTATTTCTAGGCTTTTCCTTTCTTTGCTTTATTCATTTTGTTCTGAGTTTTATTCTGGAACTTGGAAACGGGACGTACATTTCAGTCCCCTGGACACCGTTGGCATACCGTTTATATTAAATAATAATCTATTAGTCTGGGGGGGGGGGGTTAAGCGGCTGACGTTTTGCACCATGAGCTCTCTGTTATTTAACCATTTTCTCTTGTTGTATTTACCACTTTAAGTCAATGCGGGAAGAGCTGATATCCATACTTCATTTGTCAAAGTCCCTGCTGGCTGTACACTTTTAAAGATTTGATCAAGCCAGAGTATTTACATTACTCACACATCAACATAATATGCTTTTGTCACATAAAAACGTTACCAATGAATATTCCATAAATTACACCACATACCTCTACTCCATCATCTTATGCCCTTGTTCCTACGCGAACCCTACTTTATTTTTTGTTTGTTTTGTTTTTATTTTTCTCAACAGCACTCCAGCACGTTTTGCTGACGCGACTCAACAGAACAGAGTAAAGATCACAATCAACTCCCGCTGATCAGCATCACCGGAGCTCTTGCGTTCTCTGCTATTCGCACAACACTGCCAATAGATCGAGCGGTCCGGCAATCTGCACTTCTTGTCTCGAAAAGATAGTGCAATGTTTAGTGGAACATTTTTTTACAGCTGACTTCGTCAATGCAAGTTCATGACTGTGTCCGTTCGGTGTAAGTCCTAATCCAGGAGGCAGAGGATTGGGCTCTTGTGTTCGCTGATTTACAGTAATATTTTGTTATGCTGTACCATCCTTATTTGTTTACGATGTTGTAAAAGGAAAGGGAATGGCATAATATTCAGTACGCATTATCGTGAGTGATATGTTTCCTTTGTTCATGAACATGACATTAATGTAGGTGTGTCTGCAGTGGGTGCCCTTATTGTGGATTGAGAGACGACAGAAAAAGAAAGAAAGAAAATGAGAAAGAAAGAAAGAAAGAAAGAAAAGCAGTGAGAAAGAAAAACAGAAAGAAAGAAAGAAAAAGAAAAGAATAAGATCAAAGGAGAGTTATGATGGAAAAATGAAGAATGAAAATGCCAGAACGCCTAGGATATTACTCGGTAGAACAGAAAATGAAGAATGAAAGGGGGGGGGGGGGGGGGGGGAAA